ATAGATTAACAATTTGACTTGACGTTTTATATATAAGGTATTAATAGTTTGTACTTGACGTTTTATATATAGATTAAACAATTTGACTTGACGTTTTATATATAGATTAAACAGTTTGACTTGAGTTTTATATATAGATTAAACAATTTGACTTGCGTTTTATATATAGATTAAACAGTTTGACTTGAGTTTTATATATAGATTAAACAATTTGACTTGCGTTTTATATATAGATTAAACAATTTGACTTGAGTTTTATATATAGATTAAACAATTTGACTTGCGTTTTATATATAGATTAAACAATTTGACTTGAGTTTTATATATAGATTAAACAATTTGACTTGCGTTTTATATATAGATTAAACAGTTTGACTTAGAAAAGTTAATGAATAAATACTGCCGCATTCTATTGATAAACAATTTAGTTCCACAGTGAGACAACCTACTCAGTTTGATTTAAATTTGCCAATACACTTTCATATTCTCCCTCTATATTTATATAACCTAGTAGACAGTAGTATAAGCTGTTTAGTTTGACTTACAGCTATAAAAAAGCTCTTGTCATGTTGTAGGTATAGGCAATATGGTTGCACAGGGACATTTACAAGAAACTGGCTACAAAACCAACTAAGCTATTTCATGTGGTTTCATTTTAGAGTAACCGCTGAAGAGTTTTGTTGCATTTAACGTGGATTTATACAGTTTGATTGTTTAGTAATATGCAGCATCATTTAAAATATAAATAGGGTTAAGATGCCTGAATCTATAGATAATAATCTTAAGATGTTTGGTGAAATCTAGATTTATACATGCTTAGTGACCACGGAAAGACAAGCGTATTGGGTTAAGTAATGATAAACATTATTTTATGCCACCTAGACTTACATAGTTGTGCATGTACTCTGACGAAAATGTTTTAACTGGCATACAAGCATGACTATGTGGAAACATAGAAACTGTCTTTTTTGGTTTGCAAACATAGCTATCAGGCTAGACGATGAAAAATCTGATCTTCGTGTGGATGTACACGTGTGCAGTTTTTTGTTACACTTGCACTATTAACTGATTACTTGGTGACGAAATATTTTCTCTGTGATTAACTTTACGCCATTTTCAGTTAAATGGCTTCGTATTCTATTTGATGTAATATCAAAATACATTCCTCAAAAATAGTCAAGGGAAACTAACTGCTTTGAATGTCGTTCATCGGGTTAAAAGCTAAATGAACACAGATGGAATGTACAATAGTTGAAATTGCCAGATCTTCACCTTTTGGTCATTGACGAACCACGTAAGCTGAGTGTTCTTCGTATCCCTGGAGGAGCTGCAGTTAACTTCTACGATGTCCCCAACTCTGTATTCCTTCTTACCAGTAACCAGTGTCGGTCCTTTTTCTGGTGGTACAACTACAAACAGAGATGACTGGTTACTCTAGCCATATAACTGTATATCAAAATAAACGAATGATACAGCCACAATTCATCTTATTTAAATGAATGAGACATGAGATGTAAAAATTAAAACGAGTGAAGTGTAGAATAACTTGGAAATTCATTTACTACCATAAGATAAGTAATAAAAGCAAGCTCTATCTATATTTACTATATCTAGAAAGGATATAAAACTAGTATGCATATATGTAATATAAAAACACTATATAAAGAAAAGGAGATGCAGTTAAGAACAACTTTACAACAAAAGAAAGGAAAGTCTGACCAAACCTTTGATGACAAAAAAATACTACAGTGATGAAAAACGTTATTGCATGACCCAATATTTTCACACTTTTCTTGGTTCCTGTAATTCTTTACGAGATTGAGCATTGTGGAAGTGTCAGAACTAGTGTAAATCAGTTATGAACATTGTGTGGTGTAAGCTGACTCATATTTCAGTCATCCAAACACATATATGTATCTTTATTAACAAACCAATCGTCACAAACATATTACAGAAAATGATCAACAAATACCTAGTAAAATGCTCTCCGAGTAAGAAAACTTAGATTTAATGATAACACAACTAATTTATTCGACAAAATGGATCACAAAGTCTGTTACTTGTTTTAATATTTGGTTGCGCACCCTCTGGCCTTCATAACTCTTGAAATCGCCCTGGTATAGAGTACATGAGGGACCGAATGTAGGCAGTTGTGATTTCATGATGCCAAACGTGGATTAGGGTAGTTCCAAGGTGCTTCACGGTTTCTTTTCTTGCATTTTGTTACCCATTACCTTCCAGCAGTTTTCGACAAGGTTGAAATCTGGGTTGTTTACTGGCTAGCTCAGTGTCTTGATCATCTCCCTTCGAAGATAGTCCTTTCTCTGAAGTGATGAAATAAAACCAAGGTGTCTTTTCAATACAAGTAGAGTGAAATGTCTTCTAATGCATGGAGTGCGCAAATATTCCCAACCTTTTTAGCCCTGTGACATGGAGCAGAGTCATCCTGGAATGTGCATTGGTCAGCTCCACAAAAGTGATCCCTAATTGTTGGCTTTAACCGGGACTCGAAGATCTCGATTTACTTGTCGGCATTGACAGTGCCTTACACAAAATGCAGGCATCCGACACCCTGGCCAGAAATGCATCCCCATATCACCTGGCCCCCCCGGATGCTTTACAGTTTAATTCAAACACGCTGGATGAAATTCTTCTTTACATCGACACCGTACAAAGTGCTTCCCATCAGACTCGTGCAGGTCGAACTTTGATTCGTATAAAAATACCATTTTGCTGTACATCGCTTCAGTCAGCATGCTTTTTAGCCAGTTCAACCTCATTTTGTTGGTTAGGAGGGAGTTCTTTCTTGGCTATCTTGCTGGAAGACCGGACGATGCGCGCGGTTAAAGTGACCCCTAGCGTTTTCTGCCATACTCTTTTGAGGTCAGTGGATGACAGTCGACGATTCTGCAGGCTCGTGCGTTTCAGAACACGATCGCCGCTCCACACAGCCAGCGTCTCTATATTTCTGCACCCAGTGGATCACAGTAGACTGGTCAAATTTAGTTCTTATAGCAATCTGCTTTGTCGAAAGTCCCTCTTTGCTCATAGAAACAAGGACTACATTTTTACGTGGAGTTAACTCGCAACTCTTAGCCATCACACGCATTTTGTAGCGATAGGCTTCTAAACTGGCTCTCATTAAGAATCTCTATTTATGGCCAAAAACGGCTGATGCAATACTAGGACAACCTATAAAGCTGCTGATGTAATAATTAGACAGTATTGCATCATCCGTAAACACATTTGCACTTACATGCATTAGGGCCTCAAAACAGACGATGATTCCGAAGAAACGTGTGAATAAATTGGGTGACGGAATAAATTTTTTTTCATCACTGTAATTTAAGGAACAAAGTCTTTCTAGTAGCCAATAAGGAACTTTTCCTTTCAAGATTTGGATTTTTAAAGAGTATAAAATACTTTAATAGTAAAATATGTGAAAACAACAACAACAGATTAACCATTAATTCGACATAAAAATAAGTAATGTAAAGAAAGGACACAAATTACAGCCAAGTAACATACTGTACCCTTTATCTGTTCTTCATTATAATAGCATTTAATGCTTTTTTGCAATATAAATTTAGTTAATAAAAGTTTTAATTCAGAACACAACTGACAGTGATGTTTCATTTATAATTGAGACATTTTTCTATGGAATGTCTCACTCTTCCGAATATTATTATTAGATAAGAAATAATTTTGCGTAATCATCAAATTGTAATTAGATATTTCCAAATTAGCATTCTTATTTTGAAGACTTAAGTTTTGGCAATCAACAACAACAATATGAAAAAAAGCCCACTGATAATATCTGAATCACAGCATCCGAAAACAATATAGATATAAGTCATATCTTAAACATAAGCTGAGTAATATCTAAATGTAATGTTTTATTGATGTGACAACATTCCTGGTCTTCTCTTAACCCACCCATGTATCCATTTCTTTATCTATAAAGAAGTTACATCTTGGCATTATAATTCTTAGTAATGATAACAATGCGTGTCAAATCCTCTGGTATTACAACATAAGATGCAGCATCTTTCAAGGAACATCGATTTGTAATAAAGTGAAGGCGCACATGCAATGAAACTCCCTGGTATTTTACCTTCTAAATAATTTAAAGAGCTATATAAATGTATGATCAAACTTCAACTTGAATAAGTCTAAATTCTCAGAATTACGTTCAAATACCAAATATCTTACATATATATATAAAACAAGAACAGTGTTTGTTTGAAATTAAGTACTAAGCTACACAATGGACTATCTGTGCTCTGCCCACCATGGGTATCGAAACCCGGTTTCTAGCGTTGTAAGTAAGCAGTCATAGATAAAAAAACGTTAAAAAACCCTCGTATTATTACTTAAGACTCTCTTTTCTTATCACTTACATTGCCGATCTGAGAAAATGGTGAGCTTAGTTTGAACTGTTTCATTTTAAGGGACCAATGGTATGTTCTGCGATTCCCCATACTTTCAGACGCGTTTTAGATATCAGTAAAATACACGCTTATGTATGATCGTTCCAGTAAGAAAATGGAATAACAATTTGTCATGTTACATTTAAGGCGGCCCACAGAGAAATAAGAGATATATATACTTGTAAACAAGGTCCCATTTAAAATTAATGACTTATATGAGATCTGAAGGAATAAATGAAAAAAAAAACAAAAACGGATTGGACGAAATAACTTCATTAATTATGCTCTATAGCTTTGATGTCAACATAGGACTGTGTGGCTTTGCTCAGTCAGCAGAGATAGCTAAAACACAAGAGTGGTATTCAAGACAAGAAACCATGAGAAATTATTAAACGCCCGACATCAGAAGCTCGATAGAAACCCATCACGGTCGGTCAAACTGATCATTCAACGTAGCACACTCACATTAGATTGCGAAATAAACGTGGAAAACAGTGAAAAAGGATTCGTTTATAACTATATGTGAGGAAATGACGAAAGGTTAGCCAATTAGTATATTGTTTCATATGAAACTGTATTTACTAGTTTCACATATCTATTAAAATTAATGAAATAAAACACATTTTTTATTTATACATGGTTTAAAAATATTTCTTGAAAAGATCTACATGTTCGATGAGGCGTCTATGTCAAAAGATATAGAAGTTTGGACAAACATTTTGAAATTGCATACAAATAAACTTTATGTTCAACTTAATTTATTTTGACAGTAATACTCCAGACTGATTATTTAAAAGTACACATATCTATTTTGTAAAGTTTTCATATTGCCAACTATTTTATGTGCATATTTTGGCTCTTAAACATTTTGTTGTGCTGTCTTTGTATAATTATGTTTACATTTATATATTACTAAGAGCTTTGTCACATATCTTGCCGCTAAAAATCTCCAAACACCATACTTTGTGGACTCAAAAGATGGGAAAACCACTAAAAGCAATTTTTCCCTATAAAAAAAATGATGTGATTTCCCTCATCTATGTTTTTATTTCAGAAAACTGCCCATTATTTCTCTACTCAGAAACTATAAAAGGATAATTGGTAAATGAATGCTTTCTATATTAAGTATAACACATTTCTTTTCTGAACTTTTACTTAATAGAGTAGGCAGCTAGTTCACACGGTATCACATATTATATTTTACAATTATACAATTTCCATTTGGAGTGAAGTTTGTAGAATTACCACAATATTGATTCCCTGTGGTTCAGAACTCGTTATCAAGACACGTTCGAGACACTATATTTCATACTATAGAGAAATTACATTCCCTTCTAGGGGTTCCGGAAGACCAACTGATGGGAGGGACTAAGTTTGAATCCTCAGGAAGTTAAAGTCTAAGTGTATGGGATGAAACACTCCCTGGCGTCGAGAAGGTTCTCGTATGATGCACAGATGCGTGATTAATATATGATGTCATTTAGATTTCAGGATCGTGTGATTGGTTTGCAGTTTTTTATTTTATTTTGACTTGTGGTTATCTAATTTTAACGCTGAAATGCAGAAACTGCGCGAAACAATTATATCTCATATATTTTACTATAAACATCTGAACTCTACATTATCTTGCATTTTACTAGTAACAAATCGGCCAGTCTCAAATTTCTATACGTTTTACACCTATTTGTCCGTTTTAGCCCCAAAATAATCGTAGTTATCCTGCTTCATATTTATCTTCCAATATAATTAAGTCTAAACCAATTACGATTTACAGCGTATCCAGTAATAAGATAAGTACTGAAGCATTTATTAATCTATTGTACTCCTTTATCACTACCAACCATCCCTGTTTCAGTATATTGCTACTGTACTCGGAATAATATTTTCTTTGTCTGCCGTCCCCCAGAGTCAACGGTATGTCTGAGGACTAACAACGCTAGAAACCGAGTTTCGATACCCGTGGTGAGCAGAGCAAAGATAGCCTCTCGGGTAGTTTTGTGCTTAACTTCAAACAAACAAGATATTTGTCTACCCTATTCAAGGTACGCTGATAATTGCTGGTTTGTTCTTTACACTATCTAACCATTTGTAAATTAAAAACCTTGTTTGACAAAGTGTAATTTCAGGCTAATATAAGCTGTTGTAAGCAATTTTCTCACCGCGTGTACAAGTATTTTATCTTCTTTATACTTAATTTGAAGAAAACGAAAAAAACCAAAAAAACCTAGTAGCTCACACTGGGAATACTACACATCTTATAATTCTTATTTTAATTTTCTCGCGCACCACCGACATTAGCTCCACGTACCATAGTTTGCGAATCCCTCTACTGTAATGCATAAGAAGATGTAGCATTTTGTCATCCCGAAATAAAATTTTACACGGAATTAGTCTAGTGAGCAGGAATCATTTCCATTTCTTATTGTTCGTGTCTCGCATTAATGATTTAAATTGTAGGAAATGACAGGTACTCTTTTTAGAAGATTGGGCTGGGCTTTAGTTATTACATCAATGGTTAAGGATCGCTTCGAATCATAAGATATGTTATATACCTTAATTAAAATATAGATATTATTGCTTGCAGATCGGGGTATCATATCCTTATGTTGAAAAATAACTTTTTTTTTTACATGAGAACTAGTGATGCGATATTAGCTTTCAAAGTTGCATGAGAAAATAATGATACTTTGGTTCAAATAAATTACAAAATTTATAATTCAACAAGAAAAACGTATTTGACCAGATTATCTTTATACTTTAGAACGTAATCCATTAACCTTTGAATATATACCGAGGCTTCCAAAAAAAAAGGTATTTTAATTCTAAATGAATTCGTACCTTGATAAAGTTATTCATTTCCCTTTTAATAAATATATTATTTAAACAACGACCTATTTGTGTTTGTATTTATACGCACAGTTAAGTTTTATTGTAATATTTTAGCTTACTTAGTTTCGTACAAGAAGCTACCATCCGATGTTGAATAAATTTTCTAGTTGTTTATCTGTTTACACAATCTAACTGTCGAAAAATGTTGTTTAAAATTGCAGTAATGAAGCACAACCTTTGGAAACATTCTTCCAGTAGGAGGATATTATCAATGTTTATCTTTAATATCGAGTTCTGACGGCATAATATGAAAACAAAAAACAAACAAAAAAACGATATACTTGCACAAGCACGTTCATGAAACTTTAATTTTATTAGTTTGCAGAAAATATTTCCAACATATACTAATTAGTAAAAGAAAGTGTATAATTAAGCATTTCGACGCCATCAAGATTAAATTACATCTAATTAGATTAAACAAGAAAGAAATCTAGTGCTTAACTCTGTTATATTAGGTAGATTGAACCTAAACTTTTCTAAATGAAAGTAGAATTGGGAAAATATAGTACACGTCATAGAAATGATATAGTACAATTTTTATAATAACAATAAAATATACATATATATGCAGTATGTATAAGGATTCTGTAGTAAAACATAAACGTTCTTTCCTTATAGTGGCAATATTGGTGTTTAACATTGAAGATAAAAAATTTAAGACACAGTACCACGGATTCAAAATTTACGCCATAGAATGATCCTTGGAAAATTATATTGGGTAAAACTTACAATCGCTGGGGTCTGCTCTAATTCTTCCACCAATCACGATCTCCCCACTTTGAGAGTAATATTCTTGAGAAACTATAGCTGTGCAGTCTAATGACAGCATACCATGTTTTAAATGAGTAAAGGTCACAATAAAGTTCAGGCCTAACATGGTTCTTTGTAATCCTTCTAGATGGCGTTGAGTTTCATATGTGGTAAGAAAAGTTGGTTCGGCCTATCAAAACAGTACACAATTCATTAATGAATTGATATTTTGCAATATTTCATGAATGTAACTTATTGATAATAAAAAAAACACAAAACTTATAAATGTATAGAATTAACCTGATGACGTCAAATGAAGCCAAAATAAAGTGAATTTAGTATATAGAATATATTTCCTTATGTAAATATCGTTAAACTATGATTGAATGTTCAGCCACGTAAAATATTACTTTTTCTGTAATTCTTTCACGTAGATAAAGTATGTAATTTAATAATTTTAAAATAGTATATTCATGTGTACTTTTCTGTACTGTCTATTTCACAACAGCAAGATATCTATTATTATTATTATACTTGAAATATTTGTAGTAGTTGATAAGAACTTTTATACACATTATTGAAAGCTATCATTTGGGTGCATACATCATACCCCTGATGAGTTTATTCTTTCTGTGCCTGCCCCTGTTCCTTAACGACGTTTTATAACGTGTTCTTGATGAACCAAGCCCACCCATTTTCTGTTTCCGACAAATCTCATTTTCAGATAGAATAAGTTTTCCGTTTTCCTAGAGTAACGTGATTATGATCTCCTTTTTTCTTAATTTTTTTAAGATACATATCAAGCTTGGTAAAACTGAAATTAATACATATATAAAGTTATCCCATCTTAAACTAAAGTATTAATATAATAACTGTAAGATTTTGTAAATCTGAAACCTTATATTCACTGAATGGTTTACATAAGTTATAAATACTTTTGTAACAATAGAGATATTGTTGCTCATGGTTTAATCAAATCTGTTTTGTTGCAATAAAGTAATGTAATTATAAATACTTTTGTAACAATAGAGATATTGTTGTTCATGGTTTAATCAAGTCTGTTTTGTTGCAATAAAGTAATGTAATTACAAATACTTTTGTAACAATAGAGATATTGTTGCTTATGGTTTCATGAAATCTGTTTTGTTGCAATAAAGTAATGTAATGTCAACAACTGCAAAAAGAACCTATAAATAATTTGTATTAACTTGAAAAAATTATGATAAAAGAAACATTACCTTAGATTCCAAGCTTTGGTTTCTGATATTACATGGACTATTTTTTCCATTTATGAAAACTCTGAATTATATTTCAGTTTATAATGATAATGTACCGATTGCTTTTTTTTGTACATTTTTGAGTTAAAATCTGTAAATTGATTGTGAGGAGTGTAATACTCATGTAAATTAATGATCATTATTTTTCGAACTTTTCAGCTTGTGCATTAAACAGCTAATGCTGAAGTTAATCACAATTTATAAGTGCGATATTCCATATTATGTGCTGTCCATGGAATTACTTCCTTCATTGTCGATCGTGCTCTTGCTAATAACCATAAATACGCATTATTACCCGATTCTGCAATTTCCATCTTCACCGACTTCTATGAAAGATAGCTAGGTTAATCTTAGAGTACACGTCTTGACAAACTTGTTTTTCGCAGATTTTTTTGTTGTACATAAATTTCGAAATCCAAGACCCTGTTTGAGCAGACATTGAAGTTGTACAGGTGGAACTGGCAGGTATATGGTGGAATGAACTTGTTGTGGTTCCAGTTTCATTGTTCATCTTTCTCTTGAAAATAGCCGTTAGTTTCAAGGTGTGGCTGAAAGCTTGTGAAGTTCTGTGAATCTCCAGTCTTTGTTTCTTGTTTATTAACGGGATCGAAAGAAACGTCCAGGAGTTTCTCTTTTTCTAACTATAGCTTTCCTTCTGCGAGCGAGAACCTTGCTTCCAGTTTGGCTGAAATGTGTTTTCGTAGCCCGTTCTTGCCTGGAACGCTTTGCTATGAGCAAGTTTTCCAGTTTTCATGGGCAACATTGAAGACATTCTCGTTCGAAATTATGTGTCCTTTAGTTCTACGTCGACTGCTTAAACCAACTATACAGATGCTAAACATGTCGTCCATGGTACCATGTTCCCCATCTGCAGCTCTGTACTGACATACGCAGATCATTCAAATAAAGAGCTATTAACCATCTGTTTCAAGAACCAGTTGACCAGTTAACATTAATTACTGTTTTAAAATAAAATCATTTTTAACATAACGTTCTTTCATTAATTTAAAAACACAGCTTTGGAATGAAAATATATAAATTGGACTTCCAAGAAAATTGAAAGTAGAATTAATCCAAACTCGAATTACCAAAGTATTTCAGAAAAAAATAAAAAACCTAGTATTAGCCTAGAAGAAAATGCAACTTTTAAAATACAACTCAAACGTCGTTATCACTATTCAAATATTATTATTTTATACTTAACCATGAGAATAAACAGCTGTTATTTTATTCTTTAATTACGTTCATTTCCCGACTCTTGAGATGGGTGCAGCGCAAATAGCCCGTTGTGCAGTTTGTGCTCAAACAAACAAATGTGAATTCAAAATCACATTAATATCTGTAAGTTTCAAAACCTTGATAATTATAATATTTCCTACCTTAAGTTGTTGGTTACTTGTAACCAAAATTGGGATTTTTATTATAATGTTAAGTTACTAACTGATGATTAAAAGAAAGTTTGGAAGTCCCACTGTAGGCATTTTTACAAAGTAATTATAAAATTAAGTGGTTAGGACTTTTGTATAAAATTATGATTATAATTATATTAATAGGAACTTATTTTAAATGCTAAAAGTTTGCAAGTAATATTGTTATACAAACCCTCATGAATAAAAACAATGCAGAAATGAAATCGGCAAATGTGCACTTAGATTTAAGACCTGAACAAAACATTCTACAATCACCATAATCGGAATATTTTATACTAAATTTATATTATTATGTAAGACGAGAAGAAAAGTATACAAAGTGCAGAATTGTGTCAAATATAACAATATATAATGGACAATTACACCACTAGTCTATATATGAACAGAATTACAGTTACAAATAAAGGTGTACTACAGGGAATCATACCGGCTGACCGTTAATAAGCCATGACAACTGAGCTGGTGGTTTAGAAGGACTCGAACCACAGGTCACGTTAACTTCATCACCTATGCCATAAACTGACTCTAGTCCTTCAATAGCTGGTTTATCTCTTGGTAAAACTGAAATTAGTACACATTTATGAGTATTGCAAAATCAAGTAAAATTCCAATGAATGCTGTAAAGATAGTTATTAAACATTATACATGGTTGAAGAATCTGTGTACTGTACTTATATATATCTATAGTGCGCAGATTTTTCATATATATATATGATGTGTATCTTTATATAGACATTAAGTTAAACTTTGGTAATATTTTTCCTCTTGAGAGTTCCTGTCTAGAATGGATTAATTTGTCTTAAGAGTGGCAAGTGAAAGCCTTGACACTTGTGTGTTGTTATAAACATTGATCAGAAAGAAAAGATTTATTTCTTATAATATCCATATCAAAACTGCAGAAAAAATTGGTTTTGTAAACGATTTATAAAAAACAGCATACAAGCGCAAGAATGGTATTTTTCTATAGTTTTATTTTCATTTAATGTGGTAAAAAGAGAGATAAAATGAAATAAAGTAATCATTTTTTTTAAATAAGCCATCAAAAATTAAAGTAGCTATTTTCAGTGTAAAAATAAATCACTTTATTTTTGCTTGCATCTTTGACGATCAAACTCCAACTGTAGACACAACTAAACTATAAAATACGAAATGGGAAAAAACTACGGTGAATCTATTTTTATTATTTCGAACTGAATGTGATGTTCAGTATTAAATAAAATATGAACTAACGTGAAAAAGAATATTGGTCTTTAGCACGGAAAGAATTTGAATACGCTACAAGGAAATATGGGATATTCGGCATTCACGAACAACAAAAACGTTTTGTCGAGTTTTCTAAGTACAGAACAACTCAGAAAGTGTTCTGTATGAGCTACGTGCAGCCTTTGCACAGACTACTTTTAGGTTTTGACAGCACTGAAATAGAATTTGTTGTATTGATTTTTAGGATTTTTTGCCAGCTCTTACCTGCCGTCTGTTTGCACTATATATATTTCCTTATACTGCAAAGGAAAATATTTAAAAATATAATGTTAATTAACTATGAACTAAAACATTATTCGTAAAATACATATGAAATAATAATATAAATAACAATATATTTATACACATATATATATGTATACTTTTTTAATCTATAACCATTTTTTTTCTCTTAACATATAATTCAATTTCGCCTTTAGCTCGAAATTTTGGAAAGCTTACCATACACTTTCAATTTTTTCTCTGCTTGCACAGTTTTGTAAGAGGGTGCTTCTGTTGATACTTCACAACCATAGAGGCCATCAGTATTAAGGTCTGTTTGGTCTAGGTAGACATGTGTTTGATTGGAGTTTTTAAGCTGTGAATTATAGCGATCATTAGAAATATTAAACTTTATAAGTAACATGAATAAAAACACAATACAGCTGTTGAAATGATTACAAAACTTATAAACACTTTCAACGTGTGAAGTGGAAGATAAAGTTTCGATATTATAATTTATTTATTTTCTTTTTCTTCAAAATATTTATACCTTATAATATTAACATAACAAGCAAAGAAAAAGAGACTTTAATTTTCTATGAAATCTTGATTTTTTTGTGGTTCTAATAACTCAGTGGCTGTAAGTGAGCTATTCTGTTATAGTACACAATTTGTCGTATTCGAAATAATTCAATAAGGATGAAAACGTGTTTAACAACAATGAGATGTCCTTAGATTATAAGTCAAAGCCTGATTAAAAAACTAAAAACTTATCAACTATCAAGTTAGTTTTCTTATTACTGTGTTTCTTTATCAATAACGATATCGTTAGACAGGGGAGTTACGTTAATAAAAGCATATATTTCTTTCTCATCATGCAGGAAATTAAATTGCGTGTAGGTTTAGGTTTCACGTGCATTTCAGAATTTTAAAATATCTTGAAACGGACTCAGAGAGAAAAGTAGATTTGTAATATCTTTTTTCAATCAAGATAAACTTAATAAGAGTTTTCAGACGTACGAATATGGTACATTTAAAAACATTTCGTTTTGAAAACTTTGATTTAGGAATAAAAAACGAAATTTTTTATTTGACCATTTTATAGTGTACAACTTTTTGTAAAATCAGTTAAATTTATAAAAATCAGGAAATGCATTTGGTCACACAATAAATGTGTTCAACAATTTACTCGTTAGAGAGCACTGTGAGCACTTACATCCACATGAACTCCAACTAAGTCATACTTCTGTCCTGGGGGGTTGTCACTTGGAAGGAACCTGTAGAATTCAACATGGTTTTTATACCATTTCACAGAGTAGAGGTCATCTCCCTCTAGGTTATACCAGCAATAAAGCCACACAGGACTAGTTAGTCTCACGACAGCAGGAACATGAAGATCAACAAGTTTTAGGCTTAGAGCAGCTGTAAAAAATGTTTAATTTAAGTAAATTTGGTTTAATTGTTTTTATAGAACTTTTATTGTTGTGCTATCAAAATACTGAATCACTCTTCTTGTTCAACTAAAAAAACTATTATAAGGGTGATAGTATTTTGGCAACCTTAATTTTTGACAGTGCAATAGCAAGATATTTATGATTTAACATAAAATAAACGCACATTTAATGCATTCATAGGTCAGTTCTAATTAACATTAGCGCTTTACCTCATTTTCTGAAACAGCAAGTTCTCATCCAATAAAATAAACAATGTCTCGTTTCAGCAGATTTCGTTCATTGCTTGGGTTTATTTGAAAGCGACGTTTTTGAATCTACCGATGCACATATTAAAATGGGGTTTGCAAAAGCTAATTTTTGAGCTTAGGCTAGGCCTATTTCTACTTTGATGTTGTTAGGTGCACTTTGCCTTTTCCGTGCAATTTTCATCTTGAGAAAAGAATTCGAATTGCTTATTTTCTACGAAATATGTTTCAAAGAACACTCTTCTCAAATACAATAACGGCCTTGACCAGGTAACGTGGCGAAACAGGATTAGGCTTGACATTTTGAAACACGATCAATTATTGTAAGCAGATGTAACAGCGAATATAAGTAAGCCCAGCTTACAAATCCTATAGGAAATTTACGGTAGTTCGAGCAATAAAGACAATACTTAATACTTTTTCTGATCCATCGATATAAGCCCATAATTCTTCAATGCTGACACCAGCATATATATTCTTTATATATGTGAAATAGGTCGTATCAGTTCTATCTATCTATTTATATAAGTTATTCACCGTACTGTCTATTTTATGGAAATAGAATATCTCGCATTTCTGGTTTAAGTTAACGAAAAGTATATTGAAACAAAAAGAAGGTCCTGAAGGTGGAGTCTGAAATAGATAATCTTGTTTCTCTCAGTCTTTCCTCTTAAGTATTCTACGAAAAAAGTAAATCTGACCCAATTTATGAATCTTGATCATGTATATAAAGGTCATATTTCTGGTTACTTGCAATCAAAAAAGGTGGCGTGAAGTCTTCACAACTTTTTACAGGAAAGCAGCTCAAGGAATTTTACAAGTTTTTACAGTGAGTTGTCTTGAATACTTCTGCAAGATGTCATGAAGAAGTCGCACAAAGACATGAAACTATAAAAAAGTGGATGTGAGCGATTTTAAACGATGCTACAAAGAGATAAATTATTTCATAGGACGCTACTGAGAGAGGGGTGAAACTTTCACAAGTTGTCACAGTGACGCGGCATTAACTATTTCTCGGGATATGACAGAGAAATGACATGAAGTGTATTACAGGATTCCACAGAAAAATAGCATGACATATTTTACTGGATATGACAGAGAAATGACATGAAATATTTTACAGGATATGACAGAGAAATGACATGAAATATTTTGTGGGATTCCGGAGAGAGATGGCGCGAAACCTTTTCCGGGAAGACACAGAAAGGTAACATAAAATAATCAAAACAGATTCATATTGAGGAACTTTTATATGGTTATAATGCAATTTATCTAGATTAGTTTTTAATAATATGCCGTACTTAATTGTTCACGTACTAAAGTCACTTCTACAATATCCGACAATTAAAGCAAATTCCTTATGTTGCCTCTAAGGAAGTCAACGAAATGTTTTATTTATGTCAAAACAAGTATGATAGATAGACTGATGGGAATGATGACTGCTCCTCTGTTGTACACCTTCATGCATACAGTTTAAAATATTTTATAGAAGTGAAAGAACAAGAAATATGAAACACCTATTCCGAAACTAACAGCTTTTCTCAATTTTTGACAATAATAAGCCGGTTGTCATTGGTGGTTTACATTTTAAGCTAGATAATTTATTAAGGCGTTTAAAGACAAGGAGAATGTATCAGTAACATAAAAATTCCCTTACTATATTTACAAATTACTGTTTCTGGTATAAAACTAATACATTATTTAATGTAATCACTAAAGAATATTAGATGTCATTGGGCGTGTCAAATGACTGTAATATGTATAATTGACCTTAGCGTTTGCAAGCGTTGTGTGTGAATTATGTATGTTATGAGTGTTGATGCACACATGTGTTGGCTCGTATATTTTATGTGTACATCTGAGATGATATGTCTCTTTTTATTTTTAAAATGTCAGGCATAAATGAGTGATTAATTACTGCTTGCTTCCTTAGGCTCATCTGGAGAGACTTCAGAAGAACCACCACAAAATGGGAGACGCCCTGTTCCTAAAACAGATACATACAGATGAACTTACACCCTTCTTTACAGGCCACGTGGTTTTTCCGGTAAGAATACAATGAGGTTACTGATTACCAGTTTCATCTAGTTAAAAGGTTATTGCCAGAGAAGATATATGTACATAAATTATGCATGATTAGTAAATATAAAGTTGAGTTATGTTAATCGTAATAATTCACAAAGGTTAACGAATTAAACTAGAGACGGATTCAAATTTAATTCTTCTCTGTTTTACGTTTGTGTATATTTGACAAAACTAATGATTTTACAGAAAAGTTTGCATTTAGAGATATTATAAAACAAATAACAAAGACAATAAATACTTTTCTGACTAATTGAATGTGTTTTTGAACAGTGCCTGTAGACCTTTTACCTTCAGAACACAATACACCATTAACTAACGATTAATCTTTAAGAAAATCCAGTCACCTTTGCCGTTTAATTTTAATTTTCCTGTTAACTGGCCTGTCAAAACATATGTATTCTGTATGCAAAGTCATAATAGTTACTTGACCAGACTTCCAAGCGATAAAATATATAGGCTTATTTATATCAACGAGATTCTAGAGAACTTGAGTTTCTTCTTTTACCAGTTGGAGGTTTCTCAAAAACTACCAGTGTCTACTTATTACTTTTAGCATTTGTTTTCTTAAGCGGTTCCAAAGCAGTTAAAGAGAACTTCTTTTACATTAGTTGAAATGACCATACTAAACACAGTATGCTTGCTTAAACGAAATGAAAATACACACACCCCACTCCATCATGTTTAGATGATCCGTGTTCGATTAACGCAAAATCGAAAAAGACTTGTGTGGACCCGTTGAAATTAACAGATAAAAAAACCTTTGTTTTAATAGCTTAAACATACGATTCAATTTCTCCTCTATTCTTGGGTAGGTGAAGATACTGACATCTCATGGGACAGGGCATGAGACAATTTTAAGCATCTAATAAACGACGATAGTCTAAATTACTATGCATTTAAATTCCTTCATTTAATTTCATTCGGCCATTACTGCATGCAAATAAATAATTCCCCAGACATCTATGACATCAAGGCGCATAACTAGAGCCTTAAAATAAAGAAAGAGCTTTAAAAGGACGACCCAAAAACTGCTGACTTAACCAAAGACTAAAGTCTTTTCAATAGTTTTCAAACGTTGTTTTTCAGTTAAATGTTTAAAAAATAAAATAACACTAAATCCTAGTCTTATGAAGAGAAAAGGAAAAATTATCTTAAGGGGTTATACTTATCCAAAAGTTTAGACCTTAACAAAACTCTGACACACATTTACCTCTGCATATAAATATCATACACCATTAAGTAAAACAATCTGTTCGTTAAAGCCTAGGACAAACTATCCACAGCCATATCACTACAATAAATGTTTTCCTTGCCTAAGCCTCTCGTGCATGTCAACATCATACAGTTGGTCAGATTTACGTTTGAATCGAGTATAGAAGATTCGCAAGGGTTTTGACAACTCAAAGAATATTTCAAAAATAATAGCAAAACCTAACTAGATACCCAATTTAAACAGTTTTTATGTCAATATTTGAGACTTAATACCATTAACTTAAAATAAATATCGTCTTTGAGATCAACTACCTTAATAACAATTATCTAGATAAAATACATGATATCTAAGATTATTCATCTACATAGGACATAAGTATAGTCAAATACGATGAGCTACAAGAAGGCTCATTGTACCGAAGTTCAACTTTCTAGATAACACCTATGGCACGTTTACTAGATAAACAAAATCTTAGGATATTCAAGTTTGATTACCTAGAGAGAGACTACGATATCCACGACCACTACTCAGAGTTATGTTTCAAGTGAAAAAAAAAATTCTAATATTCAACTACTGAAATATAATTCGTGTCAACAGTATGATAGGATAAACAAAAATCACTTACGTTAAATTTAAGTTTTTCGAAATCTTTGTACTTTTTAAAACTTTGTAAAAAGACCCCCCAAAAAAAGCAGCCTAAAGACTGTATTAAAACTGAACACCAAAAGTTTATTAGATGAGTAATCGCTCAGTCACAACAGTTAGGTGTAGTTATTAAATAGCAGGTCTGGTTGATTCGTTTCACATTAATTCTCGAACTTCAATGTTGAATATCGATGAGTATGAAAAATCAATATCAACCACGTGACAGGTTTACTTCCGTAGATAAGTGGTTTTAATATTTTTTATTTCAAAAATTTAGCCAATCAATAATGTATGTTTTTCAATCACTTAGAATTTGTTGCAGAATGCTTATAAATAGTATCTGCAGCATAAAAACTTTTCAACAGTTGTACGCAGTAGAGTGGAATAGTTTCATACGTTTGAGGAACAGTTGTCGTCCAATTGTTACTACTTGTTAATACGTTTGTTGAATAGTTGTCGTCCAATTGTTACCACTTGTTAATACGTTTGTTGAGTAGTTGTTGTCCAATTGTTACCACTTGTTAATACGTTTGTTGAATAGTTGTTGTCCAATTTTTACCACTTGTTAATACGTTTGTTGAATAGATGTCGTCCAATTGTAATCACTTGAACAAAAATTCCAGACAATCTTGACGATGTTTATTAATCATATTTTACTACATTCATTATACAGTAAAAATTAATAAGAATTTAAGAGAGAGAGAGGGGTTTTTAACTTATCTAAAATTGGCTTATTTCAGATGTCATGTTTTGAATTTTATGCTTAAAAATTATAATTTT